AGCCCTCATAGTCCCCCCAATACAGCCCCCATAGAAACCCTCATAGACCCCCCAATACAGCCCCCATAGTGCCCCCCCAATACAGCCCCCATAGAGACCCTCATAAACCCCCCAATACATCCCCCATAGAGCCCCTCATAGACCTCCCCAATACAGCCCCCATAGAGACCCTCATAGACGCCCCAATACATCCCCCATAGAGCCCCCCCATACAGCCTCTCATAGACCCCCCCAATACAGCCCCCATAGAGCCCCCCCATACAGCCTCTCATAGACCCCCCCAATACAGCCCCCATAGAGCCCCCCATACATACAGCCCCTCATAGACCCCCCAATACAGCCCCCATAGAGCCCCCCAATACATCCCCCATAGAGCCCCCCCATACAGCCTCTCATAGACCCCCCCAATACAGCCCCCATAGAGCCCCCCCAATACATCCCCCATAGAGCCCCCCCTAATACATCCCCCATAGAGCCCCCCCAATACATCCCCCATAGAGCCCCTCATACACCCCCCGATACAGCCCCTATAGAGCCCCCCCAATACATCCCCCATAGAGCCCCCCCCCAATACATCCCCCATAGAGCCCCCCCAATACATCCCCCATAGAGCCCCTCATACACCCCCCGATACAGCCCCCATAGAGCCCCCCCAATACATCCCCCATAGAGCCCCCCCAATACATCCCCCATAGAGCCCCCCCAATACATCCCCCATAGAGCCCCTCATACACCCCCCGATACAGCCTCCATAGAGCCCCCTCCCCTTTCCAGCATTATTTTTGGTGTTTTTTTTCAGATATCCTCAGGATGGTGTCACATCCCCCCCCCCCCCCCCCCCCCCCCCCAGGGTCCTCCTCCTTTTCATCTCCATGATGCGGAGGGGTCACTGCAGCCCTCTGTATCAATCCTCACACTGTGGGTGTGGGGCGTGTGGTGCTGCCCCCTCAGGTTCCATGACTCCCTGTACTCACTGTAGGCCCTCAGTCTCTGCTGTCATTCCTCTAAAGGGACATCTTGTGGTGGAAATGAGCTACTGCAGGGGACTGCGTCAGAGAGGAGGTGAGTGTTGTAGTCAGGGCGGCTTTTCATTTTAAAACCCAACTGGGGAGGAGCCTGAGAACACGCCTCCTCCTCCTCTACAAAGTTACAATGTACAGTCTGATCACTGGGGAGGAGACTGAGGAAATGCCTCCTCCTACTTCTACAAAGTTACAATGTACAGTCTGATCACTGGGGGTGGAGACTGAGGACACGCCTCCTCCTCCTTCTACAAAGTTACAATGTACAGTCTGATCACTCCCCCCTCCACTGGGGAGGAGACTGAGGACACGCGTCCTCCTCCTTCTACAAAGTTACAATGTACAGTCTGATCACTGGGGGAGGAGACTGAGGACACGCCTCCTCCTCCTTCTACAAAGTTACAGTATACAGTCTGATCACTGGGGTGGAGACTGAGGACACGCCTCCTCCTCCTTCTACAAAGTTACAATGTACAGTCTGATCACTGGGGGAGGAGACTGAGGACACGCTTCCTCCTCCTTCTACAAAGTTACAATGTACAGTCTGATCACTGGGGGAGGGGAGACTGAGGAAATGCCTCCTCCTTCTACAAAGTTACAATGTACAGTCTGATCACTGGGGGAGGAGACTGGGACACGCCTCCTCCTCCTCCTACAAAGTTACAATGTACAGTCTGATCACTGGGGGAGGAGACTGAGGACACGCCTCCTCCTGCCTGCAGCAGAGTGATGACATCAGCTCGGCGGTGACAAAGCTGAGATGAAGGCGGATTATCTGCCCCGGAAGGTGTTGGCCTCCATTGTCATTCTGCAGTTTCCGGATCTCGATGTGCGTTTGGATCTCTTCTATGTGAATCTTCGTGGTGATATAAAAGTCGCTGTTTGGAGGTCGAATATATTTCTGGAAGGAAGTTGCTGCTCCCAATGATCCCGTTCAGCGGCTCGCCGCCGCACGTCGGTCATGAAGAGGTTAATCTCTCCCATTGCGGCTACAAATGAACGATTCTCGGCGCTGTAAGACGAACGTGGCGCTCGCAGGTAGGAAAGTCGCTCGGATCTCTCCGGAAATGGCGTTCCGCCTCGCGTGCCACGCCCAGCAAGCCGTATAATTAGCGTCCTTCATTTCTGAACACAACAGGCGATTGGCGGAACGCAACCGCGCCGCGGCTGACATCACTCCAGACACGCCCTTCAAGCGGCTAAAAAATAGACATTTCCCATTTCCACTTCCAGCCGCAATATTCTCTGCCTGCGACGGAGGGAACGTGCTGAGCAATCCAATGCCAACAACGTGGCGAGCAATCCGACGCCGAACGTGCTGAGCAATCCAATGCCAAACGTGGCGAGCAATCCGACGCCGAACGTGCTGAGCAATCCAATGCCAAACGTGGCGAGCAATCCGACGCCGAACGTGGCGAGCAATCCAATGCCGAACGTGGCGAGCAATCCGACGCCAAACGTGGCGAGCAATCCGACGCCGAACGTGCTGAGCAATCCAATGCCAAACGTGGCGAGCAATCCGACGCCGAACAGGTCACACTACGTCTCCCATCCACAGGGGGGGATAAAGGGCAACTCCGCCCGTGGAGCGATTTATAGAGAATCACTTCCCTTCCTCCGGTGAATCTGCTTCATCCTGAGTGAATGGGAGGAGAACGAACGTCTGTTCTGAACCAACATCTCTTCTGAACGAACGTCTCTCCTGAACGAACGTCTCTCCTGAACGAACGTCTCTCCTGAACGAACGTCTCTTCTGAACGAACGTCTCTTCTGAACCAACGTCTCTCCTGAACCAACGTCTCTTCTGAACGAACGTCTCTCCTGAATTAACGTCTCTTCTGAACGAACGTCTCTTCTGAACCAACGTCTCTCCTGAACCAACGTCTCTTCTGAACGAACGTCTCTTCTGAACCAACGTCTCTTCTGAACGAACGTCTCTTCTGAACGAACGTCTCTTCTGAACCAACGTCTCTTCTGATCGAACGTCTCTTCTGAACGAACGTCTCTTCTGAACCAACGTCTCTTCTGAACCAACGTCTCTTCTGAACCAACGTCTCTCCTGAACCAACGTCTCTCTCCTGAACGAACGTCTCTCCTGAACGAACGTCTCTTCTGAACCAACGTCTCTTCTGAACCAACGTCTCTTCTGAGCCAACGTCTCTTCTGAACGAACGTCTCTCCTGAACCAACGTCTCTTCTGAACGAACGTCTCTCCTGAACCAACGTCTCTCCTGAACCAACGTCTCTCCTGAACCAACGTCTCTCCTGAACCAACGTCTCTTCTGAACGAACGTCTCTTCTGAACCAACGTCTCTCCTGAACGAACGTCTCTCCTGAACCAACGTCTCTCCTGAACCAACGTCTCTCCTGAACGAACGTCTCTTCTGAACGAACGTCTCTTCTGAACCAACGTCTCTCCTGAACCAACGTCTCTTCTGAACCAACGTCTCTCCTGAACCAACGTCTCTTCTGAACCAACGTCTCTTCTGAACGAACGTCTCTTCTGAACGAACGTCTCTTCTGAACGAACGTCTCTCCTGAACCAACGTCTCTTCTGAACGAACGTCTCTTCTGAACCAACGTCTCTTCTGAACCAACGTCTCTTCTGAACCAACGTCTCTCCTGAACGAAACGTCTCTTCTGAACGAACGTCTCTTCTCTTCTGAACGAACGTCTCTTCTGAACCGAACGTCTCTCCTGAACGAACGTCTCTTCTGAACGAACGTCTCTTCTGAACTAACGTCTCTCCTGAACCAACGTCTCCTGAACGAACGTCTCTTCTGAACTAACGTCTCTCCTGAACGAACGTCTCTTCTGAACGAACGTCTCTTCTGAACTAACGTCTCTCCTGAACCAACGTCTCTCCTGAACTAACGTCTCTCCTGAACGAACGTCTCTTCTGAACCAACGTCTCTTCTGAACGAACGTCTCTTCTGAACCAACGTCTCTTCTGAACGAACGTCTCTTCTGAACAAACGTCTCTCCTGAACGAGCGTCTCTCCTGAACGAACGTCTCTTCTGAACGAACGTCTCTTCTGAACTAACGTCTCTCCTGAACGAACGTCTCTTCTGAACCAACGTCTCTTCTGAACGAACGTCTCTCCTGAAAACTCTCTTCTGAACGAACGTCTCTTCTGAACGAACATCTCTTCTGATCGAACGTCTCTTCTGAACGAACGTCTCTCCTGAAACCAACGTCTCTCCTGAACCAACGTCTCTTCTGAACGAACATCTCTTCTGATCGAACGTCTCTTCTGATCGAACGTCTCTTCTGATCGAACGTCTCTTCTGATCGAACGTCTCTTCTGAACAAACGTCTCTTCTGATCGAACGTCTCTTCTGAACGAACGTCTCTCCTGAACCAACGTCTCTTCTGAACGAACATCTCTTCTGTTCGAACGTCTCTTCTGATCGAACGTCTCTTCTGAACGAACGTCTCTTCTGAACGAACATTCTATTATTCATTCTGGGGGAGAGGAATGAGGAGGAAATTCCGTTGTCTCTGGAATAGGAGAGACAATCGATCAGAATGGAGGCGATGTGACGATCCCCTCCCTCTTGTAGATCTCACCGAGGAACGAACGATCACCTCCCATCCCCCGGATCCTCAACCGACTTCTGACACTTCAAATAAAAACCTTTTCCTTCTCATTACTTTAGTCCCTGTAATGTCATCACTGGGTCTCTGTGCTTCTCTATGCAATTGAGGTAGATCATGGCCGGTGGGAGGGGCTGGCAGCGTGAAAATATCCCAGCACCCTGCTGCAGTACTCACACATGATTGGAACTAACATCCAATAAGTGAAAGGGGGGCCAGGGACAGTTAGGCTTTGGAGGAAAGCGCTGGATGATGCTGGAGCTGGCACACTGTGTGCATGACCGAAGGGGAGGAGCCAGTACACCTGTGCATGACCGAAGGGGAGGAGCCAGAAACACCTGTGCATGACCGAAGGGGTGGAGGAGCCAGAACACCTGTGCATGACCGAAGGGGAGGAGCCAGTACACCTGTGCATGACCGAAGGGGAGGAGCCAGTACACCTGTGCATGACCGAAGGGGAGGAGCCAGAACACCTGTGCATGACCGACGGGGAGGAGCCAGAACACCTGTGCATGCTCGAAGGGGAGAAGCCAGTACACCTGTGCATGACCGAAGGGGAGGAGCCAGTACACCCTGTGCATGACCGAAGGGGAGGAGCCAGTACACCCTGTGCATGACCGAAGGGGAGGAGCCAGAACACTTGTGCATGACCGAAGGGGAGGAGCCAGTACACCTGTGCATGACCGAAGGGGAGGAGCCGGTACACCTGTGCATGACCGAAGGGGAGGAGCCGTACACCTGTGCAAGACTGGGGGAGGAGCCACTGTGGAGACTGAAGATGACGTCACCCTGACCTGGGCACTGTGGAGGAAGAGGGAGGACGTCACCTTGACCTGGGCACTGTGGAGGAAGGGGACGTCACCTTGACCTGGGCACTGTGGAGGAAGATGACGTCACCCTGACCTGGGCACTGTGCAAGGAGGAAGATGACGTCACCCTGACCTGGGCACTGTGGAGGAAGATGACGTCACCCTGACCTGGGCACTGTGGAGGAAGATGACGTCACCCTGACCTGGGCACTGTGGAGGAAGATGACGTCACCTTGACCTGGGCACTGTGGAGGAAGATGACGTCACCCTGACCTGGGCACTGTGGAGGAAGATGATGACGTCACCACTGTGGAGGAAGATGACGTACCACCCTGACCTGGGCACTGTGGAGGAAGATGACGTCACCCTGACCTGGGCACTGTGGATGAAGATGACGTCACCTTGACCTGGGCACTGTGGAGGAAGATGACGTCACCCTGACCTGGGCACTGTGGAGGAAGATGACGTCACCCTGACCTGGGCACTGTGGAGGAAGATGACGTCACCTTGACCTGGGCACTGTGGAGGAAGATGACGTCACCCTGACCTGGGCACTGTGGAGGAAGATGACGTCACCCTGACCTGGGCACTGTGGAGGAAGATGACGTCACCCTGACCTGGGCACTGTGGAGGAAGATGACGTCACCCTGACCTGGGCACTGTGGAGGAAGATGACGTCACCTTGACCTGGGCACTGTGGAGGAAGATGACGTCACCTTGACCTGGGCACTGTGGAGGAAGATGACGTCACCCTGACCTGGGCACTGTGGAGGAAGATGACGTCACCCTGACCTGGGCACTGTGGAGGAAGATGACGTCACCCTGACCTGGGCACTGTGGAGGAAGATGACGTCACCTTGACCTGGGCACTGTGGAGGAAGATGACGTCACCCTGACCTGGGCACTGTGGAGGAAGATGACGTCACCCTGACCTGGGCACTGTGGATGAAGATGACGTCACCTTGACCTGGGCACTGTGGAGGAAGATGACGTCACCCTGACCTGGGCACTGTGGAGGAAAGATGACGTCACCCTGACCTGGGCACTGTGGAGGAAGATGACGTCACCCTGACCTGGGCACTGTGGAGGAAGATGACGTCACCCTGACCTGGGCACTGTGGATGAAGATGACGTCACCTTGACCTGGAGGAAGCTGAGGACAGGTAAGTACAAGTAAGTATGTAACCTTTTCCCCTCACAGCTCCTTTTTTTCATGGAACGTTGTAGGGTGGGGGGGAGGGGGCACCTTGCCATGGAGGTGGCGCCTGTAATTCCACTCTGGGATCAGTTGCTGGCGGCTCGTAATTTTCCGTCTCCTCTGACACCCGACGCTCCATCTAGAAATGCGATGCCTCCGAATGGCTGGCGTGGAAACTTGTGACATCACAAACAGACGCGTGTTTCCATGCGGCGCACACACTAAACACAGACGTGTTTAACCTCATTAACAGGAGACGCCAGCGGCCCCGGCCGGGTCTAAATATTTCAGCGTCTGCAGCCGATGTATGGATTCCGCCAGGTTGGACCGTCTACATGTGACATCCATTTCCAGGCAGAAATAATGTAGAAGGCATCTTTATCTGCCTGTGGGGTCTGTGAGGTCCTCCCTGAGTGGCCCCCCACCAGGCTTTATTCTGCAACATCGGCCCTCAGGACCCCAGGAAACCTGACGCTGGTTCAAATAATCGTACAGATCGATCTTCAGGAGGGAGAGAATGACGAGTGGATGTTGTATCTGGACGTTGTATCTGGACGTTGTATCTGGACGTTGTATCTGATTCCCACCATTCGATCATTAATGTCCGGATTTCTATAAGGCCCGCCTCCTGGTCTGTCTTCGTATTATCGTCCAATCATCAGAAGTATCATTGATTATCATACGTAATAAACACGACATTCAGCAGAAGGTGGAGCCATAACCCCATATTGGATCTTTCTCTACGTTTCTTGTTCCTCCTCCTGGCATTTGCCTTCATTCTTCCCATATTCTGCGTGTCTTTAAACACATCCCAGGAACTGCCCCTGCCACCCCTTCTAAACCCCTCCAGGCCATCATCCACCCACCCCCTCTCTCCTTCCTCTCAACAATATGCCCCTGCTGCCTCCTCTTACTGCTCTCCTCTCCCCCCTCTAGGCCAGGATGACCCCTTGCTACCCCCTTAGACCATGATCTGCCCCACCACCCCCCCGTTCTCCCACCTCTGGACCAGGTGGACCATGATCCACACCTGCAGCTTATTACCCCCACTGTGTGCTCTCCCCTCCACCAGACTATGATTTGCTCCCTCGCTTCACCTCTCTACTCCCCTCTCCAGGTCAGTCTGTCCCTCCTGCCTCCACACTGCCCCTCCAGGCCATGAACTACTCTAGCTGTCTACGTCCACCTTCCTCCTCCCAAGCCATAATCTGCTCTTGATGTCCCCTTCCACCTTCCTCCTTCTAGTCTATGATCTGCTCTTGATGTCCCCTTCCACCTTCCTCCTTCTAGTCTATGATCTGCTCTTGATGTCCCCTTCCACCTTCCTCCTTCTAGGCCATGATCTGCTCTTGATGTCCCCTTCCACCTTCCTCCTTCTAGGCCATGATCTGCTCTTGATGTCCCCTTCCACCTTCCTCCTTCTAGGCCATGATCTGCTCTTGATGTCCCCTTCCACCTTCCTCCTTCTAGGCCATGATCTGCTCTTGATGTCCCCTTCCACCTTCCTCCTTCTAGGCCATGATCTGCTCTTGATGTCCCCTTCCACCTTCCTCCTTCTAGGCCATGATCTGCTCTTGATGTCCCTTTCCACCTTCCTCCTTCTAGGCCATGATCTGCTCTTGATGTCCCTTTCCACCTTCCTCCTTCTAGGCCATGATCTGCTCTTGATGTCCCCTTTCCACCTTCCTCCTTCTAGGCCATGATCTGCTCTTGATGTCCCCTTCCACCTTCCTCCTTCTAGGCCATGATCTGCTCTTGATGTCCCCTTCCACCTTCCTCCTTCTAGGCCATGATCTGCTCTTGATGTCCCCTTCCACCTTCCTCCTTCTAGGCCATGATCTGCTCTTGATGTCCCCCTTCCACCTTCCTCCTTCTAGGCCATGATCTGCTCCTGATGCCTCCCTCCACCTTCCTCCTTCTAGGCCATGATCTGCTCTTGATGTCCCTTCCACCTTCCTCCTTCTAGGCCATGATCTACTCTAGATACCTCCTTCCTCCTTCTAGGCCATGATCTGCTCTTGATGTCCCCTTCCACCTTCCTCCTTCCAAGCCATAATCTGCTCTTGATGCCTCCTTCCACCTTTTAGGCCATGATCTGCTCTTGATGTCCCCTTCCACCTTCCTCCTTCTAGGCCATGATTTGCTTTTGATGTCCCCTTCCACCTTCCTCCTTCTAGGCCATGATCTGCTCTTGATGTCCCCTTCCACCTTCCTCCTTCTAGGCCATGATCTGCTCCTGATGCCTCCCTCCACCTTCCTCCTTCTAGGCCATGATCTGCTTTTGATGTCCCCTTCCACCTTCCTCCTTCTAGGCCATGATCTGCTCTTGATGTCCCCTTCTACCTTCCTCCTTCTAGGCCATGATCTGCTCTTGATGTCCCCTTCCACCTTCCTCCTTCTAGGCCATGATCTGCTCCTGATGCCTCCCTCCACCTTCCTCCTTCTAGGCCATGATCTGCTCTTGATGTCCCCTTCCACCTTCCTCCTTCTAGGCCATGATCTGCTCTTGATGTCCCCTTCCACCTTCCTCCTTCCAGGTCACGGCCTGCTCCTGATACTTCCTTCCACCTTCCTCCTTCCAGGTCATGGCCTGCTCTTGATGCCTACCTCCACCTTCCTCTCTCCATGACATGAAGTGCTCTAGATACTTCCTTCCACCGTCCTCCTTCCAGGCCATATTCTGCTCTAGATGCCTCTAGTTTCACTTTTTGAGGTCATGATTTGCCTCCACTGCCTCCTCTACTGCTGTCACTGAGCCAAGACTTGCCCCTAATGTTGTCTCTATCCCCCCTCCAGGGAATATTTCTTCCCTCCCCCAGACCAAGATCCACCCTTGCTGCTTCTTTTCTCTCCCCCTTTTGACCTTTATCCACCCCTACTGTATTCCCCTCCCCCAGCTCCAGGATATGATTGCCCCCTCTGCCTCCTTCCCTCCTGCTGTAGACCATTATCCACCCCTGCTGTCTCCTCTCTCTTGCCTTTGGGCCATGATTTTCCCCAATGACTCCTCTATTCCCTCTCTAGGCCATAATGTGCCCTAACCACCCTTTTTCTCCCACCTCTGGAGCATGATCCACCCTTGCCGCTTCTTCTCTTTTACCCCCCCCCCCCCCCCCCTTTTTTTGGCTTGATCCACCTCCACTTTTTCCCCACCCCACCACCAGGCTGTAATGTGCCCCCAATGCCCCCTCTTCCTGCTGTTGTCTCTCCAGGCGAGAATCTGCCTCCCCTTTCCCACCTCTAGGTGATGGTCCTCTCCTGCTACTTCCTCTCCTTCCACCCTCTTCGCTGTAATCCACCCCACTGCTTTCACTCCACCACTTCCAGGCCAAGATCTGCCCCTGCTGTGCTCCCCCCCCCATCTCTGGCCCCACCCTAGGGCCCGCTCCCCATATTTAGTACAAGCAGGCAGCACGCTCAGCTTCATTGTCAGACCTATGTGAGAAAAGCTAATGCTGCCTTCTGATTGGAGAGCTCTGGCTCTGAAGCAGCAGGAGACAAGGTGGACCTCTGCGGAGAGACCATGGCTTCCATCTTGAGAGCAAGCTTCCTTTTCTGCAGAATGCTGCCAGGGGACAGGCTTTTTTTTTGCACAGGCTGTGGCTGCTTTCTAGAGAACACCAGTTATAATCCACTGCTCACGTCTTGTTGATGCGCCTGGAAGGTATTTCGCTGATTTAAAGCTAAACTCCACTTCAC